TGAATGGTAATTCTTCTTCTCGAGATTTATTTTTCATCATAAATTTAAAAGCCTGAAGAAAATTCACTCTTTAGTTCCACATTTTATCACGTTAAAAAAACATTACTTAGCAGAATGCGGATATCTGAAGATAACCTTTGATTATTCTTAGTGAATCTAATAGAAAAACTTTGAACAGAAATCTGTGGAAAGTTCAGTTTTCTGACCTTTCACCTGTTCACTGTCACCTGACTTTAAATCGATGAATGCAGGATTGTTTTCCATCTTACAATTTTACAAAAACACAACATATCTAACATTTCATAGTGAAAATAATGACCCATTTATCTAACACAGTATTACATTATTACTTTGGTATCTAACACTTTCAGCTGTGAATGCTCCCAATCTGTGGTGGCATTTCCCTGAAACCCAAACCTTTATTTTCCCATTTTCTCCTCTCACTCGCTTTAAGTGAGCCCCCCTCTCCTCAGTGTTTAACACCAGCTATTTTCCCTCAGGCATTGGATTTACCACAGTCTTGTGTATGTGTGGCCTGGATGTGCACATCTGGTTATTGTGTGTGTGTGTCTCTTTGTGTGGCCATTGGGGTTTGGCTGCAGTAGCATCACAAACCACCACCACCAGACCTAATTCTCCCTTTTTGGACCGATTCTAAATGTCAGGACTTCTCAAATATTTTCACGACAGCCCCCTCCTCCCCGCCCCTCGGCCCAGCATTACTGTCATCCCTGATGGGATTTCATCCCAGAGGCAGCCAAGAAGATTTCCTTTGTGGTGGTTTGCAGCGTTCCCACTGGTCAGAAAGTTGGTGGAATACTGTGAAATTTTCGACCTTGTCTTGCGGATTTGGCAAATTGTTGGATATAACAGGATGGTTTACTGGAATTTAGCAGAATGTCATTCTTTTTGTCCTGACATTTTATTGCATTAGGTCGTGGTTTGGGGCTATTTTTCTTCACAGTAAGGCTGCAGCGAAAACTGTTTACCCCTCTAGAAAAACAGCATTAATAAACCAAACAGGAACAAGAATTTATAGGTCTGGGAAGAACTCCAGATTCTGAAATGCGGAAATTATAGTCAAGAAGTCACACAGGTTTGTCATGTGATGTTTTTGTGGGGCCTTTGAAAGAAATGTAGGATATGAAAAACGCCCATCACAGTTACCACGGGACGAGTAATAATATTAGATTGTCAATATACGGTTTCAAAAATCGAATATATTTTATTTTTCCCAAGTTCGAGATAAATAACTTGCAGATTAATACCGCTCAGTTTACTACTGACACCTTAGCTGCTGGAGAGCTTTGCAGTTTTCCATCGGTGAGCCAAACGGGACCCGTCACCGCTGCAGAATGTGTTTGCTTACAGCCGTGACACAGTTTTACTCTGAGAGAGGGAGACTGACTTATTGGCTATCGCTCAGTCTTTTTCGGCCTGGGAAGTCAAGTCTGGTTGTCTTTAGCGTCGGATGGCTGCTTCTATTGTCATCACAAGATGGCTCCAGCCCTCCACTGTGACGTGCATGCGTGATTAATGTGGCCAGACAGGCAAAGTTGTGTGTGTATGTTTTATAAACGTGTGTTGGTGTAGGTCTGCCTGCCTGTTTGTGTGTGGATTTGGGGGTGTGAGCGAGT